GTGGGATTGCCCGGCACAGTACAGACACACTAATGCCACGACCCTTTCGTCGAAGCTCCATGAGGCTCTGCGGAGCCCCGCTCTTGACGACCAAACCTGGGCGACCCAGCACGCCCGTGAGGCAGCGTCGAGACAAGCCCTTGACGTCCCCTCATGGGAAGCTTAGGCTCAGCCACCTAAACCTGCTGGTTTCTTATAATAAAGTTTATTCCTTCTCCTCCTCCTCCTCCTCCTCCTCCTCCTCAGTGATGAAATATTGAACTGGCATCCAGCGGACCCATATTCGAGCCCCGCTGTGTCATTGGTACTATTTTTTTTTTGCTAATGTCGCACGATATAGTTACGGACACCGGTGGCGGGGGTGGACAACTACGACGCTGTTGTCCACCCCCACGAGTTGTGATCTTATACGCGAGTTGTGATCTTATAACAGCTTTCGCTGTAAAATTTTTTAAAATGTGGTACCACGTGGACGTTTTATTGTCACAGCACATTCACTTTCCTTTCTGCGTGTGTCTGAATCTGTTTACGATCATTCGCTTAAATTAGGATATTGTAATGCCTACAAGGGATGCCACGTAAGCTGAGATTCTTTACTGAAGTTGGGCACCGAGGGCGGAAGTCTCCGTCTTTCGATTCTGGTTTTATGGGATATCTGTATATGGTGAGCAACGGGTTCATACACATTTTCGAAGGTGGGTGCGATTTGTTGGTTTCGGAGTATCAGAATACTAGTTCTCGAGTCGTGGTGTAGTCGAGCTCATCATCTGTAACGCCGCAGTGGTCTAGTATCTTTGTCAGTTGTTGTTATTCTCCATCTGAGCGTGGGGACGATAGCTCATTGAGGATTTGGTGCGCAATGGGGCTATGTAGCCTTTGCTGAAGTATTTATAAGCTACTTGTGAGCCTACAAAAAACAAAGATGGGCCCGGGGTTTTGTAAGGTGAGGAGAATTCCAGCTTCATCCATGTCATTCGAATCTGTGTCCATGGGATGAAGTGCAATCAATCTGTATTCCTTGAATAATGACACTTTCCGCGTATTTGTCGTTCACTTGTCGAGCTGCATGGACATAATAAGGTTATTTTTCTTCTTTCAGTGATTCGTACCCGACGCCCCACTAAGAGAGAGAATAAAACATTTATTTGCGACCAAGGAAGGAATGTCGGTGAGTGAGATCCTTAGTCCGGGATCCCTTAGGCACGGGCCGCTGTCCTCGCTCGTTTCACGGGGGCCTCTTGGCCGCACCATAGCACTCTTGTGCCATTTTCCTGGCAGTTAGCGAACAAGCTTCTGTGATACTGAATGTCGCGGCACAAAGCGCCGTTAGCTCTCGATGCTATTCACACTACGGTCATTTTTGGATCTCATTACTTGGAAAGTAGGTAATAATTAGAAATTTAGGAGCACGATAAAAACAAAAAGGGTGCCGAACAAAACAGGACACTCTTACGTATCCCTAAAGCAATGTATTCGTAGACAGATGACACAAGCTGATCCTATAGTATCTCATAAACATAAAAATTATCAAATTACTCATGAGAGCAACACAATAGAATATACCGCCAACGCAAAGCAGCGGAAAAGGACATATGAGAGCGGTTCTGAAATAAACTGAATATTTAAGAGTGCTGCACGAAACACTTCCTTAACGCACTCAACGCATGACTTTATCATTTGTGTTGTTACAATGGAAACTTTCGAACTATGCAGAGTCGTAAGCAGAACTTTCCTAAAGATGTAAGCTCTATGAATACCCTGACCTTATTGCTTTTGACCACCACGTGACCTTGACTTAGAAGCAGTGCACTCTAATTTACTGCAGACCTTGGTAAAGAGAACTAAAGTATGTGTTTAAATGCTCAAAACGATGCTAATAATGCGAATTGTATACATTACGTACAAAGTTTAGATGATAAACTAAACAAGACTACTTAATTTGGAATCATGCTACAAAATTTAATTCGATAAAACACACACGATCGGGTAGGTGTATTCTATTAAAAAAAACAGATGGCTGAGAACCACTTTCACTTACACACTATATATATTATTTTAAAATGTCTTACAATAAAGATAAAATCAATACCGAAAATGCGGGACGGCAAGATTTACTTAAAATGTTAATTAGCGAGCGAGAAAAAAACAAAGGAGAACAGAGAAATGAAGGAAGGTGGCCAAACTTTTCTTTTTTTCTAGGACTCTTTGTTGAGCTGGTCGTGCATGGAGCTTCAGCTGCGCGTTCTTTGCCAACAGTTCCGAAATGACCCCGCAATCATTGAAATATAACAGTATCTTCTTCATCGAGCGTTTTGTGGTATTCGTGCCTTACTTCATAGAAAAATTGTTCATTTAGTTCGTGCTGCAAGGTAAATCGTAGTGTATTAAGACTGACATAGAGTCGCAAAGGGCCAAACGATTAGATGACCGTGATTGATATGTTTGTTTTAACGTCCCAAACCCACCATATGATTATGAGAGACCCTGTAGTGGAGGGCTTCGGAAATTTCGACCACCTGGTGTTATTTAACGTGCACCCAAATCTGAGCACACGGGTCTACAACATTTCCGACTCCATCGAAAATACAGCCGCCACAGCCAGAATTTGATCCCGCGACTTGCAGGTGAGCAGCCGAGTACCTTAGCCACTAGACCACCGTGGCGGGGCTTAGATGACCGTGTGTACTTGCAAAATAATTTGTCCACTTTGGACAAGGAATAACCGCGGAGCCGAACCACGATACTGAAGTTAGAAGAATAAGAATGGGGTGGAGCACATATCGCAACCACTCTCAAATTATGACACGTAGATTGCCACTATCCCTCAAGAGGAAGGTATATAACAGCTGTATCTTGCTGGTACTCAGCTATGGAGCAGAAACCTGGAGACTTACAAAGAGGGTTCAGCTTAAATTGAGGACGACGCAGCGAGAAATGGAAAGGAAAACTGTAGGTGTAACTTTAAGAGACAGGAAGAGAGCAGTGTGAATTAGGGAACAAACCGGGGTTAAAGATATCATAGTTGAAATCAAGATGACGAAATGGACATGGGGCGGGCATGTAGCACGTAGATAGGATGACCACTGGTCATTAAGGGTAACTAACTGGATTCCTAAGAAGGCAAGCGGGTTAGGGGGAGACAGAAGGTTAGGTGAACAGATGAGATTAACAAGTTTGCGGGTAGAAATTGGCAGCAGCAAGCACAGGACGGGGTTAACTGGCGGAACATTGGAGGGGCGTTTGTCCTGCAGTGGACGTAGTGAGGCTGATGATGATCATAATAATGATGATAATGATGATGATGAGGATGACTTGACCTCACCTTGATGTTCTTCGATTACCGGAGATGTCGTGGTCGGGATGTGCGAAAATATAAAGCGAAATTATACCTCGTCAAATGGAACAACCACTGCGCTGGTGGAGCTGTCAGAATTAGTATAGTCATCGGTCTAAATGTCTTCGCGGTCAACGTTGTCACAGATATCGTCTACGCTAAAGATCAGTGTTACCAAGACATGCTTCTTTTTTGTGCTAATTCCATTAAATCTACCTTTTGCACCAGTATATATTCGATACTGTTTGAACCTGATATGAGATACTTTCAAAGAAAGTTGCTAGCGGAGCTAATTAACGGGCATATACAGGCGTCCGGGCCGCCAAATAAAATTGGACCAAAATAACAGCCCGTCTACATGCATGGGCAAAAGAGCGGGTTGGTGTAGTATGCCTTACAAAGAAAAAGTAAATGAAGAAAACGCCATTGAATTGGCAGAATTGTACAGTTTATTCAGACAAAGAAAGGCGACAACTTGAGCAAGAAAAGATTTTTTCGTGATTTTGGTAGGTTGGTTTTTTTCCCCTTTCGGTCGCGGGAGGGTTAGCAACCGATTCTGGGGAGCAAGTCGTCGATTAGCACATGAACGTAAAGCGACGTATCACAGTGCAAGCAAGCGTTGCTCTTCAGCCTGACCAATCTGTCCGGTTGCCGGAAGCCATAAACGAGCTGTTGTGAACCAGTTTACACGATTAAACACGCCTTTGAAACGACGCCATGCCAAATGTGCCTTCATTGTTGAAAAAAAATTGCAGTTGCCCTTAGCTATCAGTAAGGACACATTACGGGGCTAATCATGTAACAATGTTTGTTTCGGGAAATGTTTGCGCAATTTCTTTTTTTTTCAATAGGCTTTCCCGTAATCGCTATGTCATGGCACGAGGGGGAAATATTTTTTCTGCACAGTTCGTCACTGAGCCTATACTGATGGTACTAATGGGAGAAGAGGGGCATGGTTTCGCTGCTTGAGCTGGTCTTTTCGGCTCTCAAGCTTGCTTGGCTGGTAATCACGAGAATATTTTCCCGGCTGCAAATACAGTGTTCATGCAACGCCAGACTCCTCTTGAGCTTCAGCACGACCTTTCGATCGCCGAGCACCATAATAGAGGACACGTGTTTTTTGTTTGTTTTTTTTGTGGTCTCAATTGCATCCTCAAAAGCTGCCAAGATTAATGCAAGTCAAGCGCATATCTTGTAACTTATGCTTAGTGACCTAATAAGAGACGTAGCGGCAGCTGAAACTCATCGCGAAATGACGATGAAGCCAGCAACGATCCGCGTAGAACTAATGCTAACGCACCACGAGGAATGATTCCAGGTTGCTGCGGTGTTACCTCGGCTATATCGAGTAAAGCAATGGAGGTCTTCCCATGACGAGAGATTATTTCAGTGAAGGACTATTCAGCAGTTGTGATGTTGCCCGCTAGGTGTATTTCAAGTAAAGGATTAAGTCAACAAGAGCTACTAAGTATGGCGCCAACTGCGAGTCCGATATTTCTTCTTTAATGGGCATGGCGAAATGCGTGAATAGGTGTATAAAAAGAATCACCTTTTTTCGCACAATTTCTTTGTCAGCTGAATACAACAATAGCTCTGGCCCTTGACACTAAATAGGATATTTTTCATTGTGATTCCGTTCGATATAAATATGTCCACAGCTCACGACTCTCGAGACAAACCACCTGCGATATCTGTTTTCTAAGCAAATGTGCTGCTTGCTTCCACGCAGAAGTGCAAAAATGTGGCCGAAGTTTCCTTCAATACTTTCTGCGCTAGTACTTTCAGGTTTTCTGACGACAACAACGAGCATGTATAGAAACAGCACGCCCTGGTTCGTGAATCCCGGTTACAAGGACATAGTCATGGTAAGCCCACATTTTCTGCATAGATAGGTCTGCGAATTGTGGACTTGTTCAAAAGATCTGGCATGCTTGTAGTGCGCCTGTTTTCTTGAGATGGCGACCATAGGTGGGCACATAATTCCCCGTTTTCCTTTAGGGGGTGTGCAGAAGTCTTAATGCAGAACGCCCCCCCCCCTCCACCCGGTCGAGTTTGAAGGAACACAATCGTCGCAATGGACGCAAAAAATGAAATTTAAACAATGTAGTTCTTCGCACAAAATTGTTTGCAAAAGAGAAAATTGTTAAAAAGAGAAGTATGTAAAAAAGTAAATGAGGAATAAGTGTACAAACAAATGCATTGTCCCAACAGATTCTGACAGACAAACGAATCTCTGCACGTTGGTTCCCGTAGGTGCCCCGACACGAAAGTGTCGAATACTCAATGCGCACCCGGATCTTTACTTGACGAGCAGTTTAGTACCTAAGACACGTAAGTAAACTTTGCGGCAAGGAAGATATCGCACAGCTGTGCACAGGTGAACACATAAAGGTATACCCTGGCCGCACCAATGCCTACGAGTCGCGCTTGACGAGAGTGAGTGCTGACGAGCGGTTAAGCTCAGTGTACCGCATTCGATGCAACGGCACAAGGTGCCCGAGTGGCGGTGCACTGTTCCTACTAACACCAGCAGATATAGAGGGTTTCACACACCGTTAACGAAATCTTCGCAAATCTTACTTTTCTCCATATTCAAGGCTGCTCCGTACGTGTGTTAAAACAAGTTAGTCTTCTTGAACGCTACTTTTGTCAGCAAAAACATATGTTGTCATCATTTTAGCAACAAGGCATTTAAGCTTAAACAATATTAAAACATGAAATTTGTCAAACATTCTCTCTATGCAAATATTGTACGTAGTGGGAGAACTACTACTTTGGATATTAGTAGTGTGGTTTTACCGAACGAGATGAGCCAACAACCTCTTCCTGAATGTCTGTAACGTGTCCTTCATACTTTTGCAGTTTTTTATGCATTTTGAAACACCAGTTTATTGAATCGTTTATTTTTAACTGAATAAAACTATCAAGATGCATGTCCTACATTGAGAAACTACAGAAGTGCAACTGAACTGCCCGGCGATTTCCGATCTGAGAACGGACTTTTTTTTTCATTACGATGTATTAAACAAATCAAACTGCGGCAAGTCCTAATACCCCGAAACGGAGTTAGAATGGAAAGGAGGCGCCCATTCCACAACGCTGCCATCTACCACGGGGCGGAAGCCGGATGGATGCGTTGTCACCCGGTTGTCATGGCTCGCAAACGCCACTATACGCTATCTGGTCCTGTAGGCTTCGAATTCTTCGTATGCAGGAAGCAAGAAAAGGCAGTACTGCTTACTATGCTGGCAATCCACTGTCCTGAAATGTACGAAGAGCAGAAAAAATCGTCGAAGCCAGCGGCGTTGGTGGGTTCGTCTTGCTCTGCTAGACCGCGACAAGCTCGGTCACGCCAACTGCAACCTCTTCAGCAGAATCGGGAGGTGAAGTAGGCTACTACGCAGAGTGGGTTAAGCTTCCGTTGGTTACAACATTATATTACGTGCACTGCAACATGACAAGCGAGTCAGTCTTCGCCTTCATTTTTTTAAGATTCCTCGACTAGCACTCCTATATGTTCGCGGCGACTGATTCGGTTGCATATGTCGCTAAAATTATTCTTAGAGCAATCGGTGCGGATAGGGCCCCTTCAGGGGATCTCGCTGCCGCAGAATCGGATTAGCCGCCGTTGTGGCGGCCGGAATGTTCAGTGTGAACGAGTCATTATGGTGACACCGCAGGCAGCTTCCATGTAGGGACCGTTAGGCCTAGCATATCCGCCGCATCGCAGGCTCCCTGAACAGCTCAAAGTCGATGCTGATATTCCAAGCTCTGGAGGCCCGAGCTATATTTCTGCTCTGCGAGGTCCTCATCCCCTTGAAACTAGAGGCACCAACGGGGCGTGTGCTCTCAATAGCACGTTCCCCGCAGTAAGGTCACTGCGAGATGGAGTCACTTTGTAATAGACAGTGCATGAAAGCGAGATTTGGATAAGAATTAGTTGCATCCCAAAGGTCACCGCCTGTGGTCTCACTAGCTTTTTTTGTGGTGGAGAAAGCTAGAACTGCTTTGGGAATTTATTAAATGTTAACACAGTGTCTCGGAACTCTTGAACCATACACTGTGACAAGGCTTCACTTCCCGCGTGGGGAGTTATCACGCGCACTTGGAACTGGGCGAGTCTAAGTTTTGATCTGCGTGTGCCGAGAACGAAGTGATCTTCTGCATAGTTATAGTACTGTTCTTAAGAACGTCTCTTTCGCGATAAAACCCGAGGCAAACGCTCTGACTACTGGTCCAAAATTTGAGTAGATACGTGTCCACTTGTCATTCAAAAGTACCAACGCAATACACGACAACAAAACGCGAGAAGACATCAAGCAATTCAACCGGAGCATATGTACAGGAAAGGGCAAAGTTAAGGGCTCGTTTTCTTTGTTAGACAAAAATATTAATGAGAACTAACCGGCAGTCATGCAGAGGAAAGGATTGGGGATGATGCCAATAGAAGTACATCTATTGTAATTCTGAAGAAGGAAAAAGTGGACTTAAAATTAACTTGCCATGAACAGGGGCCACACATGCGACCTACAAACAACGCGTCCGATCCTCTACAAACTTTTTCTGAAATAAATGTTTTTTACCACTACCACCATCTACAAACTGAACTACACGGCAGTCTGGATGAACCAAAATATACTATTACTGCGTCGGTAAGAGTGATTGACGCAATGGCCTTGAGCGATAGCTGCAACTTCAATGATGATGCGTCGACTAACCTGACGATACTTATATCTAAAATCTGTGTGTTATGAAATGCTGTAGCACAGCCACGTCGGAAACAGTTAATTGTGAGAAAATCATCGGTCGGTTCGCGTACTTTTTGGTTGTGTTCCTGCAAACGTTCACCAAGGAAGTGCCCATTGGTCCGGTATAAGTCTGTCCGCATGAAAGTGGCAAGCTGTGCACAGCGCTAGTAGAGCTCTCGGCGATTTCATTCTTGTGATTATTTTGTGTAGGGTGTTTGTTCAATGGCATATCCAGCATGCGATTGGCGGAGTGACCCGCCAATGACATGACGCTGTAGATAAGCAGAGACCGGCGCTGCACACAACGGCGGATGCCAATGTAACCGCGCTTAGCAATATTGATAATTGTTATTCTTAGTAAGGCCAATTGCACAAAGTTTCAGTGAGAATTCGTTCACTTGAGCCCGCGCTAGCAGTATGGCAACAGAGCAAGACTTCCTTCCACCTTAATCGAAGTGCGCCCAGCTCGGTTCCGAAGTCTTGATTCTCACTTTGACTGAGCATGGTTGAGTGCTCCATAATACTCAAAAGCAGAACATGTGTGACGAGGTGAATGTCGTGAATATGGTGAGGTGAACATTAGTGAGTCCTGGAGAACGTATTTTTAATTTCGTTTATTTTTAGGGTGCAAGGAGCGAAATAGATAGTTTAAATGGCATCATATGTTATAGGTTATGAAAACTATCTAAATTTGGCCCAACACGAGCGCAGTCTGAAACTCCAATTTGGCTTCACAGTGCGGTTTTATAGCGAAAGCAGCAGAAGAAATGGCCAGGAGAAATGAAAAACTGACTCCCATCAGTATATCACGAGCTGTCTCCATTGGATGTGTTATCAGTTACGTCGTCCGCAGCCTCGTACCCAAGGACGCGCACCATTGGCTGCGTTGTGAATGGCATCATTCATCCAGACGCAGCCGTAGCCTTTAGCACGCGCGCAGAAGTTTCTACTAAAACTTTCCACATGGGTAAGCCATGGACAACTCTAGAGGAGTGCCGAGAGCGAACACGTGGAAGAGCTCGCATTCGCCGAGCCGATGGTGCAGTCCGGGCACGAACACAGGTCCGGAGAGACCAAGTGCCGGCAGGAACTGCGTACCAATAATCCAGTACCTTTGCAAGTCATGATAAGTCATGAACGAGAATGCGAGCGCTGATGGCGGGTGGATCCTGCAGACCACGCCGCCGAGTTAACTGGTGAAGCCAAACGCTTTCAACAACGCCACACCCTAACAAGAGGCGTCACGGGCACGACACTGCAGCGTCAACGTGGCGATGGCGGGAGCTTGTTCTACGGGGCGAACACTTGCTTTCGGCGGGAGTTTCTCCAGCAGAACTTTGGCACCTGTGGTTTGAGAAAAACCACTGTGATGACGCAGGGCAAAATGCATTTAACCCTTCATTTCACTCTTCGATGACAGTGATCACGCGAGGCACAAGTTGCGGCATGTGGAATAAACACTGTGGTAAACCAAAGCCAAACGTGTGTCTAACTTCATTAAGAAGCACGAGCATGTAACCAGTAATAGTGAAAGGCTTGAGTGCAGCGTTGGGTTGAAACCTCCCATGGCTAAACACCGGATCCACACGTTTCAGCTTTCGCTGGTTGACCACTTGTACGGACTTCTTGGCCGGTGATCTGTTTTGTACTGAGTGAACTTCAATATCATTTTGCTGTTGCAAAACCACTTCTTAAATCATAATCTTACGTAACGGGCGTCTCAGGGCCAAGTAGTGCATGTAATTTTCTTTCCATCGTCTTCTGTTCGTGTCTTATCGGCCTGCGGTGTACGTTCAACTGCCCACGTCCGGGCCAACATTACCTTTCGAGGCTCTATTTGTAGTGGAATGACGTGATATCTCGCGCAATCGAGCATGCTGCTCGTTATGGTACACGTTTTTCAATCTGCACTTGGATTCGGGCGCACTGTTCCTCGATATTTTAAACATGACATTGTTTTTCGACGGCTCTGAAAAAGGACATTTTGTAACCAGCCGTTAAAGCGGTGTCGCTTAATATGTGTAAGCTAAAGAGATGTATGGGCTTATGACGCTCCATACATTTGCTGGGCATTCCAATTTTGCACGCCGAGAGCTTAAAAAGGCTAGTTATATAATTTTTTTTCATAATCAGCGCAGCGATTGGCAATGTCTTCCTATTTTTCAGTAATCTTTATTGCTTTTGGCGGGAGCTGTTACGTCTAAATGAACTTTAGGCACACGTGAAAAATTTAATTTCGACTCATTTGAAGGTCTACATGAAACACGTTAAACATAACTTGGCGCCCTCTTTGTGTAGCACAACTTTTTATATTGTGATGAGCGTACTGCAACCCACCAGAGTGAAGGTTCCAGCAGGCTGGACTGCGAGCACCTTAGGGTTTCCTAAAAGTAAATAGAGGAGACTCTGGCGCTGCCATCGTTCAGCGACTATGGAAATGATGGGTAGTACACACATTTGTCTAGTGTTCATACTTGCGGACGGCGAATCGTACTTGCGGCTTCGTTTATTGTTGTGTTTCGGTTGTGTTTTGAAAGAAAGATTCAAACCCTTTTCAACTTCATGATCCGATTTGGAAAGAGTCTAAAAAAATAAGGTAGTGAAGCGCAACCGCTGAACATTTACTGATTTTTGTTTCGTAAGATAACAGCTCCATGCCACGCGACCACGCACGGAGCCAAAAGCAGGCCAGAAGTACGAAGATTAGACAAATGTGTGTACTACCCATCATTCCCATGCTCGCTGAAGCGCCGTGCGTTGCAGCCACGACCTTCTGTATTTTACTGACCTGTCCAGCGAACGAAGCAGCTGCACGCCCTTTCTGGTATTGGTGCCTGCCGCTATGTGCTCTGTGGCGCTGCAGCTTACCTCATCCGCACCGGTTGCTGGCGGCCAAAACATGGGTCACCGCGCTTTTTTTTTTCGTCTCCTCGCCTGACGCTGGGAGAAAAGCAGCAATGTTTACGCGTGCATACACTCTACGATTAAAATGAATAAAAACCTCTTTTTTAATAAACTTTAAAGTATAATGACGATCTTTCGCTACCGTCTGCTCGTGTCGAGCTGCGGCAGAAGCGTGCTGGTCGCTGCAGTTTGTACACCAGCGAAGCGAAGTTTCTTGGTGCAAATTAACCATCACGATAGTGGTGTGCTACGTGCCTTTCTGTTAATAAAGGCAAGGTAAGACTCCTGATGTGACTTTTCATGAGTTTTAGTGACCGAGGTTCATGAAAAATGGATCAAGATGATTTCTGTGTTGTAAAGGACTACGCGTTTCTAAAAGAGTGAGTTGCTGGGCTGGTTACTGGTGCATGACAGACTGAAACGCATATTAGCGCAAAAAAAAATAATAACCGACAACCTCAAGAAAGCAAACGATGACGCGCTATACTAACAACTGTTTATTAGAAAAAAAAAGGAAAGACGACATGAGTGCACATATGGAAACCATATCACTACATGTGGTTATGCAACTAGGTTTTGAAACACACCCATTGTGTGAAGAATTCACGTTGAATAGGTGATTTTAAGTGCTGCTTCGTTTCAAAACAGTTGCAGTTGTCTTTCATTGAGTATTCATGTACTTGCGATCTACATTTGCCATTTGAGACGAAGACATTTATGCGCAAAATTATCTGTACTGGGTTGTTTTCTATGCGCGCCGGATGCCGCGGACACTGTCAAGTGTCATATAGTCCTTGGCCTTTTTTGCCCAGACAGTAAATGCAAGCCAGCTGAGTGTAATCCAACGGCAACAAGTCTACCATTGCATACACATATTGCTGGTATCATGAGTTAAATAAACATTTGGTGGCCAGCGCTTTTTACAACCTGTCTACGTCGTCATTGTTTCTTGTTTTGCACACTGATACATGTGTTTGTACCTGATTTGCGGTTCTATTTGAAAAATAATGCACTGAAATGTCAACTAAAATGCCAAAGAAGATTCACAAAGTCACATGAAATAAAATGATTCAAGATAGCCACCACATTTACTCAATGCGTATGAAACTCTTCTCTGACCGGCGGCAACCCATGCATTCTCATGCATTCACCAGCGCTCAGCTGGGGCAACTCGAGCGCCCCCTAGGCGGTGATGTTCGGAATCCGAGCCGGCGCAGGCAGCTCCGTAGACCGCCGCCAGCTCGGCAGGTCAGGAGTACAGAAGGTCGTGGTTGCAGCTCCCAGAGACACTAGCGCCAGAGTTCCCCCTAGTGTATACTATAGGAAACTCTATGACGAGCACGACCACGTAGTGAAGTGCCGCAGAGTTCAGCTTGCAGTAGTTTGCAGAACGCGCTACCGCATGTGGAGTGCCGTCAGCCTCACTGGCGTCCCTCGCACAGACAGCGAGTGCGTCCGTCAGAGACACCGCAGTGCGTCCCTCAGAGAGGCTGAATGCATCTCAATCGCAGAATTGCGCCCTCCTCCTCGAGGGTCTCGGCGTCTATAAAAGGCCGGCGCATGCGGCGTCAGCTGCTTCCTCGTCCACATTTTGCACATACGTCGTATATCAAGTGTGAGGCCCACAGAACAGGCTATATCGCCTATAGTTGAGTACCGAGTACTCCAATTGTTAACCAGTTTTTCTAAACAAGTAGATTGATTTAGGAGCTTGTTTTTATGATTCAGCCTTGTTCTTTCACCCCGCCGTAGTCTATTTGTCTGTCTGTCTGTCTGTCTGTCCTGTCTGTCTGTCTGTCCGTCCGTCCGTCCGTCCGTCCGTCCCTCTGTACGTCCGTCCATCCGTCTCCTATTACAATAAAGCCTACGCCTCCTACGCATTAGAGTGAAGCCAGTGCCGCAGGTCCAAACCTGGTGCCACTTTCAAGAACTTGAACTTATTTGATGTGAAATCAATCATTTATTAGCATTTTACAGGTAAGCACTCCCATTTTCAGTGAATATGCCAACAAAGGCCTGGTTTTTCTTTAAAGAATAATCTGAGCTGAAAGTCAGAACTGATAAAAACGAAAACAAAATGCTGACCATTTGTGCGTAACGCATATTTCGCTGAGCTATTCGCCAACTCGCCCAACATCGTGCTCATTCGTTTTTTTTTTCTTTTCTTATTTAGTTTTACAACACTAGTCAGCCTATATGGACTGTCTTGTCAACTGATACAAGCAATCTAACGTGCCAAGTCGACAAAATGTACAATATCACTTTTGAATACGTCGTCTTTGAGAGGTGCTATAAAATACACGAGAACGTGTAAGTAGCGTTTTCATGCCTGTATATGTTATTTTATGATAACTAGTGATCATAGTTTCTTGCATTTAGATCTGACTTTTACTTGCTCGGACGCTTCACCAATTGGAACACGCAACCAAACCGATGGCCCGACAGCAGGAGGCCGCGCTATGATCAGATGGTTCTCCGTTATTTAGGTAAGCCCTCATCTCATATTTTCAACCAAGTTCACAGTGGTTATGCGCAAGGTCGACCCCATATAAGGTGAGCACCTCCAAAAAGGCCAACTCAAGGAATTTTTCTGGGTGAATGAATCTCAATGAAATTCATTGGGTACGTTCATTGGCACGTTGCGCCATTCATGCCACAAATAATAGCAACACTATGTGTGTGGCATTGATTTTTGCCAGCGAAAGAAGAGACGGAACTGCTGTGCCATTGCAGCGTCTGCTTGCCTGCTATGGATTGTTCGTATTTGGCCGGTGCTTCCTTGGTTGAGCCGGCGATTTCCTTTTCCGTGTGGGTGGCCATGCGATGGATGCTAAGTGGTGTTGCGTTATGGGCCGCATGCGATTCGCCATATATTCACGATAATAGCGTAAGCATTTTAACCGATCACCGCAGGTCGCAGACTTTGACGGCTTGGGCAAGAAGTGCCACCTAGTGGCGTTATGCGCAACGAGGCAAGCACATTCGCAAATCAGTTCTACTTTAGAGAAGAGGAACGGCGATGCTTCTTGACCTCCAAATTTTTCCGCATCGCTACTACCATTGTTTTGCAGCTACGATGAGCTTGTCCGTGAGGTATGATCAGTGACAGACATGCTGCGGCGTTGTTGGCGTGCGTAGTGACCTATCCGATTAGCGTCTACTTTTCGCTGCTTCCGCAAGTTTACGTACTCCACTCTGGCAGGACCGGCATACCTTACAGAATTTCTGGTTTTGGCAAAGTAGTACTTCATAAGTAGACAGATCACTCTCTTCGATTTTGGTTTTGGTATTGCGTTTTCAGTTCATTGTAATATATTAACGGATTTGTTGAGGATTCCAGTGATTAGGCGCGAGACAAGGGTTTCTCAGAAACGTAAAAGCACCATTACCCTGACATGGTCAAAAAAATCGGCGGAGAGGCCTTTAAACTTTAAGATTTATTTTCTTCTACAAGGAAAACATGTGCGCCATCCGACTACTACTCAAGTTGTCCATAAGCACTACAATATATTTTTCTCTAATGCATTGAATATAGGCTTCCATGAGCTCTTTATTACTAAAAAAGTTTTCATCTTACATGTAGCAAACACAGCCGGCCAAAGAGTGAGAGCGAGAGTCAGGTTTATTTACAAAAAGGAGCAGAGGCTGGCCTCAGCGATAGCATGGTGATTTCCAGTGGGCATTCCATTTTGTGACTTCGCCTGCTACTCTGCATTGTAGTAGTGGAAAGGGGAGGAACATATACTGAAATCGTAAAATTTCCTGTGCATCAGCATCCTACGACGAAGCCGTGTTGCGAATCGCTCAAACCTAAGCGCATGGTCACAAAGTTCGCTCAGTCAGGCTCTTCCCTCATGTGCTAGGCTCTTCCTTTTTCTGGACGTACACCAATATGAGATTGTTTAGTTTAGCGCCCGCAACAGCCTTTGTCACGCAGCAGGCAAGAGAGAGCAAGACTGCGCATGCGTTCAACCTAAAAGAGATGCGTGCGTTTGCGCGCGCATGGATCTCGGCGCTTACGTTGCACCCGCTACGGCCGTTGCGTACCTTACCGGCGGCTGTCTTTCGACATCTCGATGGCTGCGAGCGTCCACGGCATGGCTGCTGCGAGAAAAGGCCGCGTCCATCGGCTACTGCAGTTAGTTTTTTTTTTGCCTACAGATGGCGCATAGCAGCACTCAAATTTGAAGCCCTTACATACTGTCACGAAAGTCGCCTGGTCTTATTAATATTTCGTGTGCATATTGTCCTAAGGTTTACCGTCAAAGGGAATTTTCTCGCTGGCATCTAAGCCAACTAAATGCAATTCATCTCTAAGATTGGTGTACCGTGATTGCACGTGCGGTCATTGGTCTTTGTTAGCAGAAGCCGTAGGAGTATGATACTTCTATGTCCTACCATGTGGTGCGGCGATGGCGTAGTGGTTAGAGCATCCGCCTCGCATGCAAGAGGTCCGTGGCTCGAATCCCGGTGCCGCGCAGCTCCCAACCGGATTAAAAAAATCCGCGTGTTGATGGAACTGCATTAATAGGCCTGGGGTGCGGCCTCACCGGTAACCACCGCCGGGAACGCACTCCCTCACCAGACAAGGATTGGCCACCCTGGTGCAGTATCTGGCCACTACCTCCCACATGCATACGTCAAATAACTCACGGCCCTCAGTCCCCAGCAGCTGCGAAGCAACTGACCACTGCGGCGGTCAGATCTGCAACGCAGCAGAGGGTGCTAAGAATCTCTGGATCCGGACAGGCCGCCATTGGAACCTGAACTTGGCAACGTTTAACGCTAGAACCTTATCTAGTGAGGGAAGTCTAGCTGTACTATTCGAGGAGCTAGAGGGTGTTAAACGGGATATAATAGGGCTCAGTGAGGTTAGGAGGACAGATGAGGCCTATACTGTGCTACAGAATGGGCACGTCCTCTGCTATCGGGGCTTGGCAGACAGAAGAGAACTGGGAGTCGGGTTCCTAATTCACAGAAACATAGCTGGAAACATAGAGGAATACTATAGCATTAATGAAAGGGTGGTAGGTATTGTAATTAAACTGAATAAAAGATACAAGATGGAGGTAATACAGGCTTACGCGCCTACATCCAGCCATGATGACGCTTCAGTTGAAAGCTTCTATGAAGACGTGGAATCGGCAATGAGTAAGGTAAAAACACAGTATACTATAGTGATGGGGGACTTTAATGCAAAGGTAGGGAAAAAGCAGGCTGGCGACCAGGCAGTAGGAGATTATGGCATCGGTACTAGAAACGCCAAAGGAGAGCTACTAGTAGGATTCGCAGAACGCAATAATTTACGGTTTTTGAATACGTTCTACCGAAAACGAGAAAACCGCAAGTGGACATGGAGGAGCTCTAATGGCGAAAATAAGAACGAAATAGACTTTAAAATTAGTGCACACCCAGGAATCGTGCAGAATGTGGAAGTGGTTGGCAAGGTACGATGCAGTGACCATAGAATGGTACGGTCTCGAATTCGCCTAGACTTGAAGACGGAACGACAGAAACTGATACGCAAGAAGCCAATCGATGAGCTAGCACTGAGAGGGAAAGTACAGGAATTCAGAGTGTCGCTGCAGAACAGGTACTCGGCTCTTAGTGAGGAAACCAACCTTAGCGTAGATACAATGAATGATATTCTGACGAGTATCATTACGGAGTGTGCAGTGGAAGTTGGAGGCAGGGTAGTTAGACAGGACACTGGCAAGCTTTCCCAGGAAACGAAGAACCTAATTAAGAAGCGTCAAATCATTAAAGTGCCAAGTACAACAGACAAAATAGAACTGGCAGAGCTTTCGAAGTTGATTAATAGACGTAAAGTATGCGATGTAAGAAGGTATAACATGGAGAGAATTGAACACGCTTTAAAAAACGGAGGAAGCGTCAAAGCAGTGAAGAGGAAGCATGGGATAGGCAAAAGTCGGATGTATGCACTAAGGGACAAAGAAGGCGAAATAACTACCAATATGGATAGGATAGTTGAAATAGCGGAGGGGTTTTACAGATAACTGTACAGTAGCAGAGACAACCGCCACCTTAATACTATAAGAACTAGCAGTAACCCAGATGACACCCCACCAGTAATGATAGAAGAAGTCAGAAAAGCTTTGGAGAGCATGCAAAGGGGCAAAGCTGCTGGTGAGGATCAGGTAACATCAGACCTGCTGAAAGATGGAGGACAGATTGTGTTAGAAAAACTAGCCACCCTGTTTACGAGGTGTCTCCTGAAGGGAAGGGTACCAGAGTCTTGGAAGAACGCTAACATCATCTTAATACATAAGAAAGGAGATGACAAGGACTTGAAGAATTACAAGCCAATCGGCTTGCTCTCTGTAGTATACAAGCTATTTACAAAGGTGATTGCTAACAGAGTAAAGAAAACATTAGAATTCAATCAACCAAAGGAACAAGCAGGATTTCGAACAGGCTACTCAACAATTGACCACATTCATACTATCAATCAGGTAATAAAGAAATGCTCAGAGTATAACCAACCACTATACATAGCCTTCATAGATTACGAGAAGGCGTTTGATTCAGTAGAAATATCAGCCATCATGCAGACACTGCGGAATCAGGGCGTAGATGAAGTATATATAAACATTCTGGAAGAAATCTACAGGGGATCAACTGCTATCATAGTGCTTCATAAAGAAAGCAACTGAATACCAATCAAGAAGGGTGTAAGGCAGGGGGACACAATCTCTCAGTGCTATTTACCGCGTGCTTACAGGAGGTTTTCAGAACCCTAGAATGGGAACAGTTAAGGATAAGAGTTAATGGAGAAAACCCTAATAACTTGCGCTTCGCCAATGACATTGCATTGCTGAGTAACTCAGGGGACGAATTGCAACTCATGATTACGGAGTTAGACAAGGAGAGCAGAAAGGTGGGTCTTAAAATTAATCTGCAGAAAACGAAAGTAATGTACAACAACCTCGGAAAGGAGCAGCGCTTCGAGATAGGTAATAGTGCACTTGAAGTTGTAAAAGACTATGTCTACTTAGGGCAGGTAATAGCCGCAGAGCCTATCCACGAGATTGAAGTAACAAGAAGAATAAGAATGGGGTGGAGCACGTTCGGCAAGCACTCTCAAATTATGACAGGTAGATTGCCACTGTCCCTCAAGAGGAAGGTATATAACAGCTGTATCTTGCCGGTACTTAGCTACGGAGCAGAAACCTGGAGACTTACAAAGAGGGTTCAGCTTAAATTGAGGACGACGCAGCGAGCAATCGGAAGAAAAATGGTAGGTGTAACCTTAAGAGACAAAAAGAGAGCAGAGAGGATTAGGGTACAAACGGGGGTTAAGGATATCATAGTTGAAATAAAGAAGAGGAAATGGACATGGGCCGGGCATGTAGCGCGTAGACAGGATAACCGCTGGTCATTAATGGTAACTAACTGGATTCCCAGAGAAGGGAAGCGGGTTAGGGGGAGACAGAAGGTTAGGTGGGCAGATGAGATTAAGAAGTTT